AATGATGGCCTGGTGAAACACAGTGCTTACCACACCATAATAATGACCAGCAGTAAACGAAAAATTAGATTGTCACCTGCATTTAATGTCTTATGAAGTAGTGGTCTCTATTCACTTAAAGGATGTAGGTGTCACTTCCATTAGTAACAGTTTTCAGCCCTTTGTGGAGAAAATAAATGTTATTCCATGTATATCAGCTAACAGTCCAGTGGTATAGCAGTAAAAGATGGGACTCTTTTTTTTTTGTTCAGGCACATCTTTTGTTGCACCTAGAAATAGGAAATCATTTATCCTATTAGAAGCATTTGAATTTCCAGTACAGTCAATAGAATGGCAGGTGCCTCTGGAGATCTCCAGATGGAGATTTGGTCTGTCTGATAGGGGTATTTTCTACTATAATAGGATTCCCTAAAATTAGGAAGTCTTTATTTCACCTGTAAATAAGAGCTCCAAGTAATGTTTGTTATTTTCAAAAGCAGCATCTTTTTTGACAGAAGAAATACCTTGAAATGACCAAGGTCCAGTGACCTGTAACCACAGCACCAAAATATCATACTTAATTCATAACCTCAGTATTTGTACTTGCAGTAAAGACAAATGAATGGTGTTTTTAAATTATAGGGGAAGAAAGAAAAATAATTACCATTATTATTGCTGCCATATGCAACTGACTTTGCCTGTCATGATTGCCTATTAAAGTAATAGTTGCAGATTGCACTACATAAGAGACTATGTACTGAACCCATTATTTTCTTACCGTGAAGATAAATGAACGAAGAAGAGCCCATCATTTAAAACTCTCCAAAACACCAGGCTGTACAAGTAAGGATTTTTACAAAAGGTGACTTTGTCAAGCCATTTGCAGCACTGCCTGCTTCAGCAGAGTTCACATTAGTTCCTCTAATTGCACTTTGTTGCTGTGAATATGAACCTGCACAGATTATAGCAGTCAGGAATCAAAAAGTTCTATTCATTTTTGGTTGATCACTATTTCCACAAAAAGAAGGAGGGTTACTGTGAGCCTCTCACAAAGGAGAAGTGTCTGGCAACCACAGCCTGCTAGGAAGAGATGCTCTCACTTATGCAACAAGTTTGGTTTCAGTGTTTTAAAATTCTTAATAGAATAGAACCTAGAAAACAGAGTATGCTTAAGCATTTTATGTTTACTTATTTTAAAGGCAATTCTTTGCTTGGGATTTTTATGCACTTCAATATCTACCTTGCAAGAAAAGAGGAAACACTAGGAGACATCTGTTCTTTTCAGCATGCAAGGCAGAATGGTCTTTGATCTGTTTCCTTACCATAAGCAGGAAGGGATCTTTAAGATATCTATTCTTCTTTTGCTATTTGATAATATTTAGTCATTTATAGAATAGATATTTAGAGTCTGGTTTTCTGAAAGCTCACTGAGCCCTCCCTTAAATAAGCTCTTCCTTTACATCTCAGAGTATTCACTTTCTTCTTGCCCTCATTCTCGGGTTCTTGAAAGTAGGAATGGAAATTTAGTGTAATTTCTGAGAAAAAGACTCATCTGCTTTGATGACAAAAAGGAAAGAAGGTTTCAGAAAACAATGAAGCTTTCTGGCAGAGTTTTTTTACCCTGGATTTACTAGGGATAACTATTTTTTCTAGTCTGCAAGGACAAAATTTTAACTGTTTATATTTCTCAATCTGACTTAAATTATGTATTCTAAAGCAATTTCTATACTTTATTTTTTTTATTTTTTTATGAGCTCCCCAAATGTTTGTATGTATTTTCACAAGTTCCTGAACTGTACCTAAGATCTCTGAAATTAAAACAGTAATTTCCAAGAAATTAAAAGCCAACCAATCAAAAAACATTGTCCTAACTTGAGCTCAGCTCAGATACCAGCAAAAACAAAAAGCTTCATTTTCATGTAGACATATAGTTTGTTTATGGTTTGATGATCAAGTGGTCCAACATAACCTTTGGAAAAGCAGAAGGTAGCATTATAAGAAGATCCAGTATATATGCTAAATATTTCTCCTTAGAAAATGATAGATTTCTGGTTTTTGTGTTCAGACTGATAACCCTTTGGAAAGGGCTCAGAAGCATGACATGAAGGGTGAAATCCTTCAGATTAGACACCTAACTGCAGGTGTCTACAATGTAGATGCCAACATGTGAGCAATGTACCCAAATTCCTTTCATATTGTGCAAGACTAAAGAACTGCTGTTCTTCTTATCCTGAAGCATATATTTACATGTGGCCAAACAAACTGCTCTCTAAGGTCCATGATAGATCTACATATAAGGGAAGCTTAAACACCTAAATGCAGACGTCTGATTAAAGAACTGAATTCCACCCCTGTTCAGACAAATGCAACAGATTACCACTGATTAAGTGCATTACACCATTTTCACTGTGAGAAGTACCAGAAGCAAAGCTTCTGATTCTTTGCCATGTATTGTTATTTACAAAGTGGTAGAGACTATTCAGTCCTGAAGGTCATGATACTATGACAGGCTATACAAGCAAAAAAAACCAAGCTATACTTAGCACTGATACACAACTCTGAATGGGGTTGAGAAGGAAAGACCATATCCTACCATGACATCATAAGACAGAAAGAAATTTTACTTCAATATCTTGCATCTTGAAATGTTTAAAAGCCAATGTGAAAAGTCATGTAAACCTGAATTACCACTCATTTCCTTAGAAAGCAAACGGCTACATAGAAAACAGAACTAAATAACAAAAATTTATTTGTTTAGCAAGCAAGGTTACAGCAACATGAAATTTATATGAAAACAATATATAGTTGCCTGTACAAATAGTAAGTTATATATTGTCCTGCCAACTTCTGTCACCTTAAAGCCAAATTAAAGTATATATTTTTACAGATTTCAGGAATTATTAGTCCTGAACACAGGATGAGTACATGTTGGGGTTTTTTTCTGCTAAATTAGCTATTTAACCTTTTGCTGTGTAGTAATACTGCTTGGATAGAGTGCTGGACTTAAGCATGACTCCGTCTATCTCTGAGGCAGCACCACAATCCATTAAGCTCCTCTTATTTAATCTGTCCATCATAAACTTAATATGTGATTCATCCTTTTCATATAACAAAGGACAAAAAGGTGATCTTTTGTATTTAAATCTCTAATTTATGCTCCCCATCCCAAGCAGTAAATGGTAGAGAAGAAAGCCTTTCCTGCAGTTTCTTTAGCCCTTTTATCTGAGAAAAAGCAGCTATATGTCGGGTCTCTAAGGAATTTGATGCTCTCTTTATCCCCTGACCCTATTTCCATACTCAGAGCTGCAAGAAAGGAAACTATCCCATAGAAAGATAACATATTCGGAGGTCAGTAAGACTTGCAGTATGCAAATTATATGTCCTTCTCCCCAAGACCCACTTTAGACTTATAGTACAAGGGCAAATAAGCTCTCAAAATAAATACCGTATAATGGAATTCTTCTATTTCCTCTTTTAAATCCTCACTCAAGGGGGAAACAACACAACTCCTAGTCTCTAGAGGAAAACAACTTAATAAACTATACATTGCAGATTTAATATCAAGAAGGAAGGCACTCCTGATACATGAAAGACCCTGAGTCTTACCCAGTAAGGTGTGCAATCTTCTCTTTGCACAGTAATTTGTATTTCTTAATTAAGTAATACCATCTCTTTGGAGGGAAAATTGTATTCATTTTCTCACCATTGTAGTCACCATTTTTATAAAAAAAGAGAGACAAAAGCATGCTGAAGCTGGAGGACTACAGAAGATATTTCTTTTAAGGAGGAAGGAATAATGATTGCCTTTGAGCTTCAATCTGGATGCCACTTCTCCCAGAAAACAACCCGACTGATGGAACAGAATTTTTTGTTTCTTTTTTCCTATTTCACCACTCTTTCCTTTGTTGTCAGAGAAGAGTTATTTTTCACAAATAGAAAAATAAGAATCAAGAGAATTTATCATGAAACTATCAGTAATGTTAGAACAGCTTGCTTATTTTAACTCCAGAAACCATTTGGGAAACTGTATTAAACAGCTGCCAAGAATACAGAAAAACAAATTTAAAGCAAGTCCTTAGATGAAACTAAATGTGAAAGGCAAGGAAGAGCTGTCTAGTATCTCTAATCTCCTCATGTTTGAGGAATAAGGTAGAGAAGAGGAGTGGAGACCACAGAGGTGTCGAGCTTGCAAACCCTCCCTAACTTGCCTCTCCTTTTACCACTGCAAATGAGAGGATACTGTGTTAGATAAGTCACTGAGAAGAGATGCCATTGTAACATTTCTTATCACTGAGAATTCAGACCAGAGTGAAAAATTGTATTTTTAAACTGAAACAATAAGTTGTCAGCAAAATAACTGTTGGTTTCAATAGAATCAGAATTTGGTCCTGTAGTTCTGGCTATCTGTGCACATAGATACAGTATGTAACAAAAAAAAACCCTGTAATCCTTTAAACATATTATAATACTATGATTGTGCAGAACCATATTGGAATTGACTGACTTGTAAGCCTTAAACTTAATAACTCACAGATATGTACATCATGTAATGAACACCAAGTCCTTTAGCAAGGATACTAAATCTTCCTAGTTTTTCTATCTGGCATCTAAACAAAAAACCTCAAAGCAAGACTAGTTAAGAAAGAGCCAAGATTTAGGAATGAGGAAAGAGGAAAATTACGTTTTATTGTTTTTTAAACATATGCATCCAGTTGATATCCCTAAATTATACTGTTTGTGCTTTTGTACGCTGACTGCAATGCTGACCTGTGGTACTCACAGGTACAAAGGGTCCAGCTGCCAGAGTCTTACTTCCTACATTCATCTACCATATGCAAACCTTTTAAGTAAAACACTTCAAATAATTGAAGTGAGACAGAGAGCAAGTAGTGTTTTGGTGTTGACATACACTGAGCAGTAACTTGAATTAACAATTAACCTTTAATGCACAGTAAATTAATATTTTCACAGCTAGAGTTGTTTTTAGTACTATACTATATCTATAGGTAAAAGCAGCTTACCTGAATAACATGTTTCAGCTTGTCAATAATTTGACTTATTACAGGATCTGTTCCCTTCACTTTTACTTCTGGATTTGCAGACTGAGCTTTGATTCCACTGCCAACCACACGATGAGTATAGCTAGTTTAATACACAAACACACACACAAAAATGGTTTAGTAAGTTATTCTACTCTCAGAGAGTCATCTTCTAGTTTGTATTTTCTCATGGCATCAACATTCCACTTTAATGAGACGCATTAATTTTGTGCACATATTTTTCAGAGAAAAGAAATACTGCATAGTATAATTACTACATTCCACAAAATTGTATTATTTATTATAGCTTTAATTTTACCACAAACTTTAACAAGAAAAGAGTTATCTACATTTTGAAGCAAGAACATTCAGTCCTATGCATATTTTTTTGTGTGTGCAAAGACTGTCCTCCATTTTGGTTTTGCTAAATGCAGACTACATGGTGATTGCCTAAATGCATGACACTTCAGGTTTTTAAAAGAAATTCCAGATTCTACACACTCTGTGTGTTCAGAACAACACCTGAAACTTCCTAGTGATTTTGTGAATGCACATACAGATAGAATATTTATTGCAGGACAATAGCCAACTGTGCATAAATTATTTAGCTTTACATAACTGATGTATGTCCAGAGGAGGCTAGAATTTACTTAATATATAGATATGTAAAAAAGAAGCAACAGAAACCAGATATATGCTCAAGCAAGAAAGAACTGTTGTAGTAAGTAGAACATTTCTAATATATCAAAACTCAAAATACAGAGACTAAAATTAACCACCTAGCAGAATTCTGTGGCTTATTAAGATGCAATTCTTCATTCAGCTTCCCATGTTATATGTACTACTCAAGTTATGCAAAAAACCAATGAATGTCTATTTTCTCATCACAGATACTGTACATTATGCAAATACCCTCCATATGTTAGATTTTGTCTGCATACTCTACAAGAGGATAGCTCTATGTATCTCTGTCTCAAAAATATTTTGCCAGCTGTTACACTGTAAGAAAAAGAAAGGAAAGAGCCCTATCAGGAATGGAGTAAAGAAATGTCTAATTCCTGTCTATTAGAACTGCATATGAGCATAAAACCAGCATATTTGAATTTTGCAGAATGTGTTTTATGAAAAACATTGCAGGTCCTCTTAGCTTTGCAGAAAACCTTCCATGTATGCTAAGCAATGAACGCCGTTCATTAAAGCAAGGTTGTCACATAACAACAATATTTTGTCTTGGTATTTGCTTAAATATCACCTTAAGTGAGATTGAAGCATACATGGATGCAGATACCATTCCTAAATTGACATTGGTCATGCTCATAGATACAAATTAACCCTGTCATACAAAATGGCACCAAGTTTTCCACAGGTCCCAGAGAGCAAAATTTGCCTTCTGTATGAGTGACAAAAATTAGTAGCTCCTTTAGGCATTACAAGAAGATACTTTTTGGACTACAAGTTCTGCAAAAAGCTTCAAAAGAGAATGAATTCTGAGGCTCAGGAAAATTTTCCATCACTTTTAAGGTATTAAGAGCCAGCAGTCTTTCATCACTTAAGTCCCTTAAAGCATTTGATTTCACACAGTAAATACTAAAATTGTAGACCTTCTACATACAGCTCTGCATGTGTAACTTAGGGCAAGAACGCTCTCTATTTCTTCTGCTTGCAATCAAGTTCACTGGAAGCAGATATAATATCAAATTTAAATTCAATTATGTATAAACATATCACAGCAATGATCACCTACAATTAGTCACCAGTTAAAGATTCCAGCTTTATTAATTCTTCATTTAAGAGAATCGTCAGCTGTATCCAATATTCGGGACACACTGTATCAGTTAAAGGTAAATACTAAAAATAATAAGCTTATTACTAAAAGCCATTATGGAACCCTTACTGATTCACTAGCCGTACTATTATTTGAAATGGATGTTAATGATGCACAGTCAGGACAGCAAGGCTTAATTTACTTAAATGTGGTTCACTGGAACAGGGTAGTTGAATGAGTTTAAAAAAATGTTCATAGCACCGTTGAATGCATTGAATATATGAGTGGTTCATATTCCTCACAACATGGCATTTTAGCTTATAGCAGACAGCTTTTTGTGCTGTCTCGTAGTGATGGGGCAATTTGCCATCTTGTAGTGATGTGGTAAAGCTCTTTAGAGGTATGTGTACAAAGCCTGCAGCCTGCCTGCTAGACCGGGGGAACGTTTAAAGCAGCAATTTGAGAAGGGTCAGAAAATCTTCCAGTAGCTTCTAAGGATTAAAAAAAAAAACAAACAAAAAAACACCCAAAACAACAAGAACCAAACCTAAAAATCTTCTCCAATGTTTTTCTCAAAAATTCTTATTCAACAGTCATTTTTCTAAATCAAAATAGATAATTCAGTATGGAATTCCTTCCTTCCTTTCTTCCTTCCTTCCTTCCTTCCTTCCTTCCTTCCTTCCTTCCTTCCTTCCTTCCTTCCTTCCTTCCTCCCTTCCTTCCTTCCTTCCTTCCTCTTTCCAGCTGAACAACACCACACTCACCAGATGGATAACTGGTTTAACTCAACACACTGGTTTAATGCAACACAACACAACAGTGATTTCTCTTCATACTATAACAATATAATAAAAACCTTAAAGGTTATGCCTCCCTTTATAAACAGTGCTCCCATTTTCTGTTTCACAGCTCAAAAAACCTATGTTCTCACTTTCTGTCACACGGAATTCTTCAATTAACACCTTTTTTCGAATGCTGCAAACCCAACTAATACACATTTGCCTGTGAACTGCATAACTAGGCAAAAAAGAACACCCTTTTTCTTATTTTAATTTAATTGACAGGGAGTGATGTTGGCCTTCCTCCAGTCCTCAGGCACCTCTCCTGTTCTCCACGACTTCTCAAAGATGATCGAGAGTGGTCCAGCGATAACTGGTGCAATGCAGCGATGCTGCAAACCCAACTAATACACATTTGCCTGTGAACTGCATAACTAGGCAAAAAAGAACACCCTTTTTCTTATTTTAATTTAATTTACATTAAATTAATTTAATTTTAATTTAATTTAATTTTAATTTAATTGACAGTACTCATTCCTCTAACCATGCAGGAAGAAGTAAACCACACAGAAGTTGAGAATTGTCTAGGCTACAATTTTATTAATTCAGCTCATCTGGAAATTATCTGGCAATGACTCATTCAAGGCTGAACATCATTTCTTTTTGAGCTATTTCCACAATGAAATCCGCACCGTTGCACAGCTGGTATTTACCATAGGACTAACTCCCTTTTTTTCACGAGGGAAATTTGCTGGGAAAGTAATACTGTCCTGTGAGTGGACCAGGTATTAAAAGTTTCAATCTGTTCCCCAACCTCACTAGAGCTGTCATCCTCTAAATTCCTCTTCAGCTGTGGTTCATGAGGAATAATTTGATTTACTTACCAGTAAAATACGTAAACATTAATTTGGTTCTCTCTCCCACTCCTAGTCATTCTGTTATAGTAATTCTTTTCATATTCTCTCAAAGGCAAAATACAGATCTGCTGCCCAGGTAGAGGAGATCTATTACCTAATGTTAGAATTTCTTTCTTTTTCTCCTTTCTCACTTAAAAAATATCGCCTTTGTCTTATTTACACATTTTGTCAAACTGTGTGGCCCAATGGCTCCTTGCCATTTGGGTTGGAAGCTTCAAGTTATCCTAGAAACATGTCCAAAATCTATTTGAATGTTCTCTCAGTTCTCATGAATAAGTCAATTCCTATAAAAAGTCCAGATATTCTTACCCAGTAACGCTGCCTGTAGCAAATACCACTTAAGCTTCACTTCTTTTGCCCACTTTGCTGTGAAAAAGCATCTCTGTGCAGAAAGGAGTTGAATAGCATGAGTGGGCTTAGTCTTCCTGTCCACTCTTCTGCCTGTCCCCACAGCAATGACATAAAGAAGCTGAAAGTTTGGTAAGCCTTTTCTTCTTTTACAGTCACTGCCAGGCTACTTTTTCTTCCTTTCAGGAAGGAAATCCACTCACTCACCTACCTGTCAAAGACCCTACTCACATTAGTTATCCAAATTGCTTCCTTGCTGACTGCTCAGAGGCGGGGTTTGCTTTTGCCAGTTGAGAGTGGGGAAGGGTAAGAAGGTGAAGCAGAGGTGATGTGCATCAAAGCAATGACAAGAGCACACTAGTGCTTGACAATGCACAACTTTATGGCAATTTGCATTGAACAGCTATTACATCCTTAGGTACTGGTAGTAACAAACTCTATTTGTGAAGGGGAAACCTTCACAACTGCTCTGGCTGCCCCCAAAACAATTCAAATGTGGTTCTGTGACAATTGACACATTTCATCCTGTCCTCATTATATTTTTGTCTGTTACAGGCCCCAGCAGACCCCAAACAACACGCAAGATGACATCCATAGAGAAAGCTTTGGGTCCACGACTGGTATAATCACTGCTCATGTCAAAGGCTTCTGGTTTATTATCAGTCTACTAGATGTTTACCACATTCCCCAGCTTGACTCTTGAAGGAGTTGCTACTTCTCTTTCTCTCTCTGCTGAAAGCCTTATGCTTTTGAAGTGCTGGGTTATTCAAGCTTTGTAAAGTTTTTACTACTTAAAGAGTTTTTAATTTTATATTCAGGGAGAATCCAATCTTCAAATTAATCCTCCAGGTTCTGGATGTCAGTTTTCACCCAGGATCCTCCCTTATAAAGCATCACATATGGAAAATAAAGAGGTAAATGACAAAAATTAAGATTTATTTGGATGGTAAAAAAAGAATGCAATCCCATTTTGAGGAACGGTTTTCCCCAAATATGTTGGGTTTATATGACAAGGTTTTGGTAGTGGGGTGACTGTAAGAGTGGCTTCTGTGAAAAGCTGCTAGAAGCTTCCCCTGTGTCAGAGAGAGCCAATACCAGCAGGATCCAAGATCCATCCGCTATTGGCCAAGGCTGAGCTCATCAGCAACGGTGGTAGTGCCTCTGGGATAACATAATTAAGAAGGGGGGAAAAAAACCCCTGCACAACAGCAGCCGAAGGAGCGGAGTTGAGAATATGAGAGAAACAGCTCTGCTAACACCAAGGTGCATAAAGAAGGAGGGGGAGGAGCTGCTC